ATACAAATGTTGTGATACTACGCATGACGTCCTCCACCCCGGAACGATTCCGCCATCACGGTTTCGGGGTGTGACAGACACAATGTTGGGGTTCGCGCCCCGAACTTCATAAATTCATATCTTTCGCATACGAGCTCCGTTTTCGACGTTCTTTATATCCACACGTAGGTGAGATTATGCTCTACAACTCTCGTTTAGACTCCGTCGGCTAATTTTGACTTTAACTTTTATTATATTATTTTTAGTAGGTCGGGACAGGAAAACTCCGTTAGGAATTCACAACTCCTTCATCTGACGTCTGTTTTCGTCTGTCTTTATACAGTTGGACTACTATCGACGAGATCTTCGATTCTTGTTTAGATTTTTCGGCTAGAAACCACTCGATCTCATATTCGAACTTTGGGCTGCATATCGCTAAGTCGAAACTTCGAAAAATCATAACTTCCTCATACGAAGTCAGATTTAGACGTTCTTTATATGCATGCTCTCGATTTAATGTATTCTAGGACTTTTGTTTAGATCACTAAGGCTAAATATCGCTCTATCGTAATTTCACTATTTACGTTCTACAGCGTCGTGCCGAATCTGTCGCGAAACTTCGACAGGTCATAACTTCTTCGTTATAACTCGGATTTCAGCGTTCTTTATATGTACGGAAACCTTGTGACATATACTACAACTTGGTTAAGATTATTTATTCTAAACACTCTTCTATCAAAAAGTTATTTTTGACGCTTATCGTCTCTAAATTGACTAGCCCAGATCTACGGGCATTACAGATTTCCCTCATGGCAAGATCTAAAAGAATACAAGGCAAGATTGAAGCTTTATACCTTATGAAGCTTCTCAAGAAGGTAAGCATCCTAGATCCACAAGTTGCTCCTTCACCAAGGCTTCTCCAAGGATCTTCTTCTTCCTCTAACACGCCAAGAACACACCAAAAATCATACACTTGAGCTCAAAAAGGCACACTCAAAGACTAGGGTTTGCAAAAACGTCCCAAGGGAATGGAGGCTGAAACGTGGAAAGGAAATGAGCCAATATGATGCTTAAATACCCTTCAAACCCTAAAATTTAGGGTTTCTTCTGACATGAGTACGCCCAACCACTACAAACAAAATGACGTTTAGTGGCACGGAAAAAGTGCCACTAAAAACCAGAAAAGTGCCACTAAAGGTCCCTTTGGTCATCAGCGGCACAAAAAAATAGTGTCACTAAAAGCGCTGCCACTAAAGACTTTTAGTGGCACTTTTTTATTGTGTCGCTGCAGCCTTTCGGGTTTTAGTGGCACTTTTTTTATGCCACTATAACAAGTTTGTTTTTTGTGGCATATTTTTTATGCCACTATATAATTGGTAAAATAAAAACGTTTTTTTATGTTTTTAGCAGCACTTTTTTTTACCACAAAAAATTTATGTTTGAAATTATGTCAAAATTTTTTATAAATGTAAATAGGATATAAAACAATTAAGATAATAAACGAAAAAAATATAAAAACATTACTTAAATTTAACTTGTCTTATAACAATATTCTCAATATTTAAAACAAAACGATCCTTCAAAATGTTTAATAAGTCTAAATATTGTGATATTGACACCCAAAACATAAAACTATCAAACTAAACACTTTTTGGGAAGAAACATGAAACTTTGTTGAAGATGAACTTTGCAGTTTGCATTCAGTCAATCCTGATTCCAAATTTGCCCTTCTTTCCCCACACTAACCTAAAGAGTAGAAGAGGGAAGAGAAAACAACATATGTTACTCCAAGTAAAGGCGTCATATCCAACATAAGAAACTTCTCAAAACGTCTATTTAAAGACATTGTAAGTATAAGTACCATCTGCATCCACGTAAAAAAATGATACACAATATCGCAAGTGTGTATAAATTATAATCATATAATGACTATAAGAAATATGTAATGAAATTGGCAGCTTACCATGAAGAAGTTCCAGTTGACGCGACTCATAAGGCTCTTCTGTATATTGTTTCACAAGAAAAAACACTTGTACAACAAAGAATAATGGGCACATTGTATATTGTTTTATTAGTATACTTATTAAAATTACAATATTTCTGACCTGACGTCTTCCTATCCCAACCAAATGAATCTGATCGCCCCTGAAAAGAGATCAATGAACCAAACTATTATATTAAAGACTCTTATATCATCTTTTTTGAAATGATGAGAAAATAAACAAAATAACAAGAGTAAATAAATCCACTGTACTAACATCATAAAGTTAGTGGACATGTATTTTCCCAGGCAGATAACATAATAACTAAGTAGTAAATACATAAAATATTTATCCATAGATAGCTACAGTTCTACTTTATGCATTCAAGAATGCAATCCACATATAATGAATCAGAAAGATAAATTACCTTAAATAAAGGATAATTCTCAAGATACAATGAGCACTTTGATAACTTACATTACTATATAAACAAATGTTTAAATAACATCAAAATTTCCAAAAAACACTAAATAAGATTAGAACTAAAGAAACGCTAAATTATACAAGCCCAGACAACAACCCTCTCGATTAATATACACATAAAATTTTATAAACACTTCAAATTCAAACACTTTATTAAAGGAAACTATCAAAAAACTGAATAATAGATTTTCCTAAATCAATTAATATACTGGAAGAATTTAGAGTAAAAAGATAATGATGTACCAGTTCAAAAATCCCTCTTTGGTGATTTAACAAACACCTGGCGGACATAATTTAGTTGAGTTTTTCAGTGAGTCGATAGGTGGTTTTGATAAAGCTCGATATGCCTGGCATTAGTATTATATCCAGTGAACTGGCATATTTAAACTCGTGTTCCAGAATCAGGTTGGGGAGGGAAGAAGAGATGCATCAATGTATTATTCCGACAATCTATCGATGATTCCACGGTTTGAGAGAGAGCCTAAGAGGCTTGTCAGGTTTGCATGCCGAAAACAAGAACTCAAATTACATTTTTGAACTTCAAAAAAAATAACAGGATCTAAATGATTAAGCACTGCCCACACGAAAAAGGAGGAAAAACATCGAGAAGTCGAATAAAATCGCACTCAAAATCAGAGCTTTAACAGAAAGATACACAACTGAATTTTTGAGCTTCAATAACAATCGAAATTAGAAAAACTTACGAGTAAATGAATCTAGTTTGGATCTCTGCGGGCTTGTTCTTATTCTTGAACCTTTTCCTTCAGTTTGGCTTCTACTAATAAAAAACAAAAGAGAAATATGAAGGGGATCTGAGAGTTTGGGAATTAGGAATTGGGAGGGATTTTTGTTTATAAGGAATCTGAAAGGGTTGGATGTATTTTCAATCTCAGTTTAAATTATGAGTGGTTTAGAATTCTCAATCAGATGATACAGTGGCAACGATATGATCGACTTTGGAGAAAACTTGATTTACGTTATGTTTTTGGGATGGGGGAATTAAGTCAAAATTTTGGAGACTAGAGGGAAATTAAAAGCTGAAAATGAAAATAAACTTTGGTTGCAGCGGGAAGTTTAAATTTTGGGAGAATTGGAAGCGGTAAAAGAAAACGCTACGATACAGTGACACAAAAAAATATATGCCACTAAAAACCCATTATAGTGGCACAAAAAAAAATGTCACTAAAAGTTTGTGCCACTAAATGTAAATTTGTTTGTAGTGAGATACGTATACACCCACCGTACTAGGGCGCGCCTTAGTACGCTCAGTGTACACACATGTACGCTTAGCGTACTCCTCCAGTTTATTTTACCAAAATACCACTAGGGCTTCAATGCATAATTCTTGAACTTAGGGATCAAATTGACTTATAATTTAAACCATGGATGAATTTAAAAATACATGAAATATGGGACGTTACAAATTTTAAACCAATAGATGAATTTAAAAATACCTGAAATCTGGGGCGTTACAGTTGGAGATGGTCTAATTGCCTAATTCTAACCCCCCCCCCCCAAAACACAGACACAACTCAGAAAATTCAAGGGAGGGGGGGGGTAGTGACTAGTGATGTTATTTTTCTATTTTTTTTATCATTAATAAAATCATACTTCTTCAAGAATGCTTCTTCAAGAATGCTCAGTAATATATGGAAAAAACTCTAGTAACCCCCCTCCCCCCTCCCCCAAAACACAGACACAACTCAGAAAATTCAAGGGAGAGGGGGGGTAGTGACTAGTGATGTTATTTTTCTATTTTTTTTATCATTAATAAAATCATACTTGATATATGAAAAAAACCATTTCACCCTCACAACAGTTACCTACGCTTAATAGCAAACAACTGACGGAATGACCAAACGTTAAAGTTTTGAAACTAAAGAGACCAATGTTGATGACCTAAAAAGTGAACGACTAAACTCAATTTTTTTTTTAAAATCACAATGACCATTTTTTAAGATTTGTCTTTTCATGATAATAAACAATAATGTGTGATCAGTGATTATTAAGACTGTTTCACATTTATTTTTTATTATTAAATACAAATCCTTATATTTTACAGGAAAAAATAATGAATGATCCTTGGCTAATAATAAATACTTAGCATACAATAATATATGCAAAAAGGAAAAATATCATTAAGAATGGAAAACTTACCGATATGAACGCTTTTTGTGTACTTTTAATCAGAATTTATGTTTTCATAAGTATTTATTTAAAAATAATAACTCTGATTTTGATTCATCACATCGACAGCAATTTTGATTTATTATCATTAAAAATAATTATAAACGATCAATCATTAATCCAATCTTTTTATTTGATTATATATATCAAATCAAATAATAAATATTTTTTACAAAAATAAAGTAATACATATAGAGGTCACGTCTCTACCATTACCAATTATGGAATAAGAAACTATGTATATTTTATTTCTCTCTTCTTACGAACTTGAACATGACACCCCTATTATGTAATATAAATGCACGTCTCGAATACGACTATTACCACCAAAATTATATGATCATCAACAACCCTTACACCACCCTAAAAATGTTCATATTGCGGTGGTGCACCCGTTATCTATCAAAATTTGGATTAGGGTTTCTTGATACACCTTTTATTCATCAACCATCAAAACAAGCTCTATTCAATCTTGATATTGGGCCGTTTCATCCTAACTCAGAACCTGTAGAATGCGCTGTGTGTTTATCTACAATCAAAGAAGATGATGAAACAAGAGTGTTGAGATGTAAACATCTTTTTCACAAAAAATGCTTGGATCGTTGTGTGGAATACAGGCACACAACATGCCCGTTGTGTAGGGGGTGTTTAGCTGGCCCTCATTTAGTATCCGAACATGGCTGGGAATTGCTCTATCTTGGTTTCTCTTTTGTTAAGAGTTCAACTGATGACGATTACTGTAAATGGTGGCTACGTTGATTCATTATCATGTATTCAATTTTCATGGAATATTATTAATATCTTGATCGATCAAATATGTACGTGTTAATAACGTTTATAATAAATCACCATGAATTCCATTCGTATTTACTTGTATCAATTAAATATATACATTGCACAACTCACAAGCAACTATATATAGTTCCTAATTACTATAAAACAGGGGGCATTATATTTCCAACGTAGGCAATCTGTCCCAAGTGCCCCGATGTGATCATAGTTTACTGACAAGAATATCAGTTAGTGAGTAGCGACATACTAACATTGGTAAATTTTGTTATGGATTCGTTTTGAAACAAACTACGATTGGATACTATTTGTGTTGGATTGCTAACGGAATAGTTTTTGACAGATTACCAACGAAATCTTTTGTGACTGTGTTTGTGAAATTTGGGATGAATTTTCACTGACATAATTCCAGGCAAATTAGTGCGGAAACCATCATAATCCGTCGATAGTGACAATTAAAACCCAATCACCCAATCATGTTTTACAATTTCAACCACAAATATAATGAGTATAAATCTACAAAATATCCAAACATATTCCATAAACAAAACAAACAGGTGTCTTAAAAAAATATTTAAATAACAAACATAATGAATGGAAACAAAGATGCATTAATTTTCGCTTTTAAAAATTTGTAGATTAGTGAAGTTGAAATTGGTTTTGTGCAGTAGCAACATTAGAGAAATGTTTTTTCCGTGATGAAGTTTGTTAAGTCGAATTTCTGGATAAGTTTTTAAATGATTGTTTAATTTGCACGGATGAAAAGGAATAAGGATTTATCAAAGTTACGAATAAACAGGATAGGAATTGATTCCAAATTATGAGACATGATAGAGATCAATTGCAAAAATAACATTTAGTTCTACGTTTTAATGTTATTTTACTTTTTATTATTTATTTATTTATTTATTATATAGTAGACCCTAATTAACTTTTGATCCATTAAGATATTGATTTTGTACAAATAAAAGTAGTTATAGTTTTTTAACATTCAACTTCAACTAGTGGCAACTAGTAACTAGGGGGCCTGTCCTAGGGGCCTTTAGTGCAATAAGTCATTTGACTGATTTTGAGGGTGTGGATGATTTGTTGGTTATTTATTAGTACATATTCATGAGTTCCATCTTTCAATATCTTTCAATATTTCCTCTTTCAAAATTATTTGGAGTCATGTATTCGTAGTTTTGGTAAACATCTTGGTTGTACGTCATATCATCTATTTATCATCTACTTATTAATAAAAATTGAACCATTTAAAGAAGTTTCTTTCGTATTGGTAAAATTAATTGTTTCGAAATGAATAAGTTTGAAGTGATCTAGATAAAAAACCACTTACATGAATACTTGTTTAAAAGTAGAAAATATCCTGGTTACTACGTAACATTTTCTTGGCTTTAGCGAAGTTTGTTTGTTTGTTTTTTTTTTTTTAATATCCATATCTCTCGTTTTGTATTTCATCAAGATTAATTGATGGATTCGTGAACGGCAATATAAACCATTCCTATTTATATCCATCTCTCTAGTTTTATATTTCATCAAAGATTAATTGTGATTCACATTCACTTTGGTAGCTTCACAAAATGCTATCAGATACCCAGTGGTCATGGTGGTCGGAACTAATTACCAGCAAGAAAGACGAGTTCACATTCCAAGTCCTCACCCTTTCAGTCATTTCGTTAATGGCGATTTTATGGTACAGATCACGGAAGACATTATCCACGTTGCCTCCCGGACCTCGTGGTTTTCCGGTGGTGGGGTATCTTCCATTTCTTGGCGCCAACTTCCACCATGAGTTCACCAAATTGGCCCAACGTTATGGCCCCATTTTCAAAATCCAACTCGGAAGTAAGACCTACATCATTCTCAGCTCCTCAGACCTAGCTAAAGCTGTGCTCCATGAGCAAGACGATATCTTTGCTAACCGCGATCCTCCGGTGGCTGGGCTGGTCGTCTCCTATGGTGGCAAAGATATAGTCTGGTCTAACAACAACTCATATTGGCGTAACCTGCGTAAAGTGTTTGTGCACGAAGTCCTGAGCAACAAGAACCTGGAAGCAACTCAATCTTTCCGGCGAGGTGGAGTGAGAAAAACCATCAAGCAGGTGTATGAAACAATGGGGACGGAAGTGGACATTGGTGGGATCGTGTTCTTCACATCCCTCGGCGTCATAACCAGCATGATATGGGGGAAAAGTTTGGTTGAAGATGAAAAGAACAGTGATGTTGGGGTTGGATTGCGAGAAGTGATTTCAAAGATAGTGCAACTTTTGGGTGCGCCAAATGTGTCGGACTTTTTTCCGATGTTGACGAAATTCGATTTACAGGGGGTGCAGCGAGAAATGAAACGACAATGGAAGACGATGGATAGGATTTTGGAGAGGATAATCGAGGAGCGACTCTCCATTAAAAAGGATGAAGCTGGAAGAAAGGATTTCTTGCAGATTTTACTAGAGCTTAAACAACAAAATACTGCATCGGCTTTCACTATGACAGAAATCAAAGCTCTTCTCATGGTATCTTTATCATATAATTGTTTCTTTTGATATCCAAAAACCGTTTTAACTTGCTTTTTTTATGCACCATCTTTTCTCAAACAGGACATCGTAGTTGGAGGAACAGACACAACATCAACAATGGCAGAATGGACAATGGCAGAGCTTCTGCAAAATCCCGATGAAATGAAAAAGGTTCAAGAAGAATTAGAACAAGTTATAGGGAAAAACAACATTGTGGAAGAATCTCATCTTCCAAAATTACGTTATTTAGATGCAGTGATTAAAGAAACATTCCGGTTACACCCTCCACTTCCTCTCTTGATTATGCGAAGTCCAAAATTACATTACATATATTCAGCCATTAAGGTAGGTGGATACACAATTCCTAAGGGTTCCAATGTCTATTTAAATGTCTGGGCAATACATAGGGATCCTCAGTATTGGGAAAATCCTCTAGAATTCGATCCTAATAGATTTTTAATGGCTGATGGAAGAAACAAATATGATTATAGCGGATACAATACCAACTTTCTCCCATTTGGATCTGGTAGAAGAGGGTGTCCTGGAGTTCCCTTGGGTGAGAAGATGTTGCTTTACCTTTTGGCTTCATTGTTGCACTCATTCAATTGGATTTTACCAAATAATAAAGAACATGAGTTGTCTGATAAATTTGGGCTTGTTGTGAAGAAGAGAAACCCACTCATGGCTATCCCTTCTCAAAGGTTACCAGATAAAAATCTCTACATGTAGTAGAGAGTAGAGACTAGAGGCCATCATTTGCATTCCTAATAATTTCTTAAGGGGCTTCTTGAGAAAAGCAACCAATGTACTTAATTTTGTCAACTCTTGTTCAAATTTTAGTAAAAACCACTTGATGAATTTGTTGTGGTTAATAAATTAAACATGTTTAATTACTTGTTCAGTTTAGACTGTCCTTTTACATACTTTGACTTATAATGAAACATCTATATATAATTACATAATGAATCAAATATATTGAAGGATATGTTGCGGTATAAGCATTTTTACAAACAACATAACCATATCATGCAGAATAATAATGCTAGCGAAAATAGGAACATAATATTTAACGTGGTTCATATGATTACAATGATCGGTTATGTTTACGGAAAAACATCAAAAAAAAGATTTTATTGATGACTAGCTATTCGTACCAAATGACTTACACATGATTTAGGTTATATGAATTCAATTAATATATATATATATATATATATATATATATATATATATATATATATATATATATATATATAATGACCTAAACTATGTCAATAAGGTCAAGCCCATAAAACACTGACGAAACTCGAACATGACTCGTTTTAATATCATAAATGATATATGAACTAGCCCACGAAAAATTTCTTCCTGTTGGTTGGACCCGGCGGCTCCACCTAGACCCCCGTCCGCTCTTTTGTGACCTCATATTTGATCTACTTAGCGGCTAAAGGACAAATGGTGAATCAGTCTTAGCTACTTACGATAATTATGCGTGTGATTCTTATTCGTACACAATAATTTTTTTTTCATACACAACAATTTCTTGAAAAATGTCAGTTTTACTTTTTCCTCAATTTTATCAAACTTTATATTTTACCCTCTCTCACTAAAAAATATTTTTTTGACCCAAACTTTACATGAATGCATTTTTTTCTTTTAACCCTTCCCCGAAATAAATGTTTTCTACCTAATTACTTTTTTCATACATAAACTTAAAAAATATAAAACACTTGGATATATTTTTGTTGACACTAACTTTTAAAAGTAAAAAACATGTTATATCACCAAACGTTTACCAAAAAAAATGTTATCAAACAACAGCCCAAAATAGAAAATTAAACAACCGTCCAAATAAAAAAGATAGGAAAAACTATGACATACTCAAAAGATTGTCTAAATCAAACGTATTTAACAGTTATACATTTAAATCAATTAAGTTTTCATCATCCACTTTATTGCATCTTTGTGATGATGAGCAAATTTTGTCAAGCATGTTTTTAGTTTTGAAAATGTTTGAGATTGGTTGAAGACGTGTAGAAGTGATAAAATCATTTAGTAACCCTTTCAATAAAACATCATTTAGTTATACTTTTAAGTTGAAGCTCACATTGCAATATTAAAGAGCCCAACAAAATGTCAAAATTCAAATTCAAGTCCATTTTTTTCCAAGTTCAAATCCAAGCATGAAAGTTAGATCGTTCTAAAAGTTCATAAGGGAAAGTCTTCATCTAATCTTTTTTTCTTCATATCCAAGAAAATAGGAAACGGATAAATCTTACATCTAACAATGAAGATTGAAAGAGATTTTACCATGATCGTGTTCCTTTTTGGATGCATAAAATCTTTATATTTGTCATCGATAGAAGGGGAACCATCGTTTTCATCACCCTACACGACCCCAAAAACACCACCCTTATCCCTCCATTAAAGCCAACCTTTCTCCACCATGCGCATCTTATACCATCACCAAACTGCCACCCTTCATCACCATCAAACACCCCCAAATCCACCCTAACAAGGAAGACCTCTTACCATATTCACAACTTGAATGCTTTGCCATTACCTGACACAACTAAACACCAATATTATCACTCCATTCCAACAATCAACCACCTTCATCAGTTTTACAAAATCTACCATCATCATCTCACCACTGCCAAATCACCCAGCATACACTACTAGTATCCTTCCCCTGATATGACCTACCTTCATCACCCCCTTCACAACCACCATCGACCATCACTACATCACATACTACCCATCGTCACCATGTAACACCCGTTTCCCAGAATAGATCGGTTGAAGGTCTAAGGATCAAATGTAAGGTTTTTGGGAAAGACCTTGTGCCACGACGTGGCGAATGGAGCACCACGTCGTGGAATGTAAAATACATGAACGTGCATTCAGGTGTCTACCACGATGTGGCAAGGGGAAGGCCACGACGTGGCATCAACTACAGCCCAATCTCATGATCTTTTAGGGTTCCTCCATATTTAAGCCCTAAACTTAAGGTTTAGGGCATCCCCTTCACCCTCCATCCCTTCCAAACAAAACCTTGGCCTCCTTGAAGCTTTGAGAGATTGTTCCTTTGATTTGAAGCTTAGTTCTTAGTCTTTGGTGGAGCTTGAAGAAAGAGGAAGATCATCTTGGTGTAAGGGAGCAAGGAACTAGCTTGGATCCACCATGTACTTCAGATTTCTGAGTGAATGAAGGAATAAAGTTCTCATCTTGACTTATGTTCTTCTTGGTGCATGTTTGAGACCTTTTTGAAGGTTTTGGTCCCTTATTTGGATGCTTTTGGAGTTTGAAGAACTCTCGAGCTTGTGTTTTCTTTTCAAGGACATTAGACTTCTGTGGAATAAGAAAAAGGACCATGTTTGGTGTATCTTGTTGTAACATCCTGTTTCGAGAAGTTCTTATTTCAGGATTGTGGACAATAAATGAATCAAATGGAGGCCCTGGGCTTCAATGGAATGTAGTTTAGACTCTATTGTAGGTATATGATGTTGTACAAGTGATTTAAACCTTAGATTGTTCGATGGAAGCTGAGGGGTAAAATGGGAAAGGTTATGTTTTGGGATTCTTGCATAAATTAAGGATTTTAGTTCGAAATGTTTTTAGTCATAAGTATCAAGATAGAATTGTAGAGCTCGTCGATACCTTCCCGTGGATATAAAGATCACTGAAAACGGAGTTGAAACAAAGAAGTTATGGCTGTTTAAAGTTAAGCTGGAAAAAGGGAGCATGGCGGTACGTTGGGCATACACTAGCTAGTACGTTGAGCGTACTAGGCTGAAGAAATGCATTTTTAGGGCAGTAAGTTGGGCGTAACTTTAGGTACGCTGGGCGTACAGCCGTAGAGTAAAAACTCTATTTTCATGGTCTTGATCCCTATTTAAGGTCTCTAACCCCTTGGGGGTCCTTCCTAATATCTGCCTCGACCCTCTTGAGCCTCCAACTCGAAACATGTTAACGTATCCCACTAGGAATACGTCAAAGATAATGAGACCATTATCTAAGGATGACCTAGTGAATGGTCGCTGCTCGACAAGTGCTAGGCCCGAGCTCCTCTCCACCGCAGCCTCGCACTTATGTCTCGGCGCTCTAGCGCCAAGGCCAGGCTTGGGACGAGAAGCTTTGGTCTATAACAAGAAAAAATAGTACCAGACGCCTCCCAGAGTGACAGGTGTAGCGCTCAGCACGTTGTCCTCTGGTAGTTCTGCACCAATAGCGAGAACTGCTAGTGAAGCACGATTCGCCAATAGGACGCCTCCACATTGTGTCAGCTCAGAAAGGACAAAAAGGTATTGTCGGGGTTCTGTCCCCACGACGACAGGTATTAAAAGAACATTTCTCCTCCAAGAGAAGGGATCGCCTCTTTCTCTATCTCGATTGAAATCCTAATTCTCTCATCTAGATATTGACTATACCATCTGAGCTTCGTTCAAGGATCCCCTCCCAGATGACGACTGACGTCTATTCTTTCTTTGTTGTGATTCTCATGATTAACCCAGACAAGGTAACCAGTGACGACATTAAGTCCCGACGACATATCACAACATCCGGCGCCATCCGGACGTGTACTTAGTGTTACTCAACCTGTAAAATGACACTAGACTTTATAAATGGCGGATGGAGGACTCGTACCGCCGGACGGTGGTGAAATCGGCCCAGTCAGACCCATGCTATCCCTCGACGGCACTAGTTCATCAGCACCATAGGGGCAAACGTCTACTCAAACACCAACGATGTCGGCATCCGGCTCCGTGGCGAAATTCATAGCTAATCTATGGCGCCCGCCACCCGCCGCAGCAGAGCATTTGGTCACAACGACCACCACAGCGCCACAAGGGACACCAACCCATCAATCGCAACCAGCTAACAACCGACCTCAGCCTCCACCACGACAGACGGCATCGAGTACTTGGTCTCCAAGCACCATCTCACCTTCCCCGCAACAGATGATGATGGCCTACCAGTTCTCCCCCATGGCGAGCATGTCACACGTCCTGCTCTTCATGCAACAGCCGATGTTCAACCCCTACTCTCACCATCTCCAGGGAACATTCCCCCAAGCAATGCAATCACAAGGGCACAATGCCCAAACAACACCGATTCAGGGGACCAACTTGCACACGCCGGAGCAACCGGAGTCAAACTCACAATCTCATCAGCTCATGTACGCAAACGCACCGCAACCACCGTATATCCCACAGAAGCCCATGTACAACCAAGGGTATAACTACCGATACGGCTAGGGGTACAACAGTCTGTACCATGCCCAACAGTTCACGGCATATGGTGGATTCCTGTTCCCCCCAGATGGAAAGCTCATTGGGAAGCGCCAACTCGACATTCTGCCAAGATCTCCTACAGTACAAGATACCACATTCAACTATGATACCAGACATACCGAAATACGATGGCACAACACCGGATGAACACATCGACACTTACGAATGGACGATGACATCGCTTAGAATGGACAAGAGGTTCACCTGCACGAATTTCCTTATCACGTTATCAAGGAATGCAGGCAAGTGGTTCAAAGCGTTGCGGCCAGGGAGCATCTCAAGTTTCGAACAACTGGGATACTCTTTCTCAACAACTTCATGCAACTTAGAAAGGGGAAAGGGGATGCAAACTCCATAATGGCATGCAAACAGAAGGAGGTTGAGTCCATACGAGCATACTACGAGAAGTTCACCGTCGCAACGCTCAGCATCCCAGGCTATGAAGAGTTCCTTGTTACGGGCGCCTTCGCCCAAGGGCTGCTCCCCGACCCTCTATCCAAAAAATATGCAATGAATAGTGTCAAAGACCATAAATGAACTCAAATATCGGGTG